TGTCTTTGAGGAAATCATTTTAATTGCAAAGCTTCTTCAATGTTCTCATGATCCAAGTATGGAGTTCACCAAAAGATGTAGCATTGAGAGGTTGTCCTTTTAACTCTATCGTGCTCAAAGTTTCTTGACCAAGAGGCTGAGGGATAGATTCCAAATAAGCTTGTTTGATGTTGGTATTGTCCATTCCTCCAATGAGATAGTATCTTTGAGCAGCATTTCTGAAGTTCTTTTCAAGATCTTTAGGATTCTATGCGCAACATTTTAGTTTGAAAAATTCCTCTCTAGCAATTTCTTTGTCATGATCTGACTTTCCACAAAATTCCCAATATAAGAAATTCATGAAGGCATCTGTAGTGTTTGACTCCTGGGTAAACTGAAGTTGTCTATATTCACCTATTGAATCATACCAATCTTTGAGAAATCCTATGATTCTTGCTATTTCAGCTTTTATGACCTTAGTATGGGTCACGTTTGGCTTTTGAAGTTCTGCAGTACACCAAAATTTCATTTCTTGTAGTCTGTATTTTCACTGTGAGGATGAATATCATCAAAAGTGAATATTGGTGAAGAATTTCCATTAGAATAATAATTGTGTGTCACATGAGCTTCAGGCATATCTTCATCAAATACTTTTGATTCATCAATGACTGGTTCAATCGATGTTTGAGATTGGCTTGTTTATGCTGGGTAGTCATATAGAAAAGAGGATTTTCATTTTTAGACTCATCATATTAATTTTCAGAAGATTTAACATACTCTGTTTCAAAATTAGTGTCATTTGTTATGGTGTGAATAGGAAATGATTGGTTATTTTGATTGTGTTTTGTTGAAGAAAAGTGGAAATTGGGTTTTTGATCATCATTTGAGATTGTTTTGAAAGATTTGATAGTGGAAGTTCTTGAGAAGAAGAAGTTTGAGAAGGTAAGGGTTGTGGTTTTTGGATAGTAGTTGATCTAATCTTTTTAGAGGGCATTGATGCTTTCTTCTTTTGTTCCCATTCTTCAGGAGTGAAAAGAGTGGAGATAGATCATTGGTAAGTAGAAGTGTATAAAGGTCCTGTTTGGGAGGATTGTGTATTGAAAGATGAAAAGGGATAGTATGGTGTTGATGGTGGGATCATTGGATTTGACTCAAGAGAAGATAGTTGCATTTTCAGATTTTTGATTTCTCTTTCTTGGGCATCAAAAGGTAATTGGTTTTGTAAACGGTTCATTATATCAGTGTGTAAGGCTTCAATTCTTTGTCTATAGGCCTGAAGAGGAGTAAGAATTGATTGAGTATGTTGTTGTAGAGTCATTTCAATCCTTTACTGACTCTGATCAATCTTTTTCAACAAAACATTTTGTTGTACTGCATTTTCTAATTGCCAATTCAAAGTTGATTCAACTGCTGAAAGAGGCTTCACTTATCCATCTGATCTTCTAGTGCTGGGATTTTTTATTTTCCATGAATGAGTGGACTTATTCATTCCAAAAGTTTCCAAAGAGGGAAACTCCTCCTAAGTAGAAGGATGGAACATTGTCATGGAAACAGAAGATGGAGGTGGATTATTATCCCAATCGCATTTCTTGTAGTATCTGTTGCAATCATCATCATCATCCTAACCAGTAGGAATGATAGGATTATCATTTCTTGATGGTTGAGTGTATTTGACATAATAGTCAAAATTTCCAGAGGGCTCTCCAAGCAAGCATTCCAACTTCTGGATCATTTTTGTAGAAAGCTTCATGTAACTTTTTTTGACTACTCTGTTTTTCTTTTCTCCTTTGGCGAGGCATATCCTCATCAATATCTGCTACTAGACAAATAGAACAATTGCAAACATCCTAAAAGGTATTATCCATTCTACTGTAAACTGGGCTTCCATTTGCATCAAAAGCATAAATAGGAATTTCCTCTCTTATATATGCAAATTAGGTAGGAAAACAGGGAGGCTTCTTTGGTACTACTTCCCTTTTGAAAGCAATTTCAAGATCACCATTGGACCTTTTCGTGAAAAAAGATTCTGCAGACTAGATCGGAGCAGAATCTTTATTCTCCTTATGAGTTTGCTCATAGCTCGTTATCCAAGTTTCAGGAATAAGTTTGAGCAATTCTGGGCGAGAAATTGTCTGGGCACATATGTGCAACTAGGTACATGATCTGACTCTACATGAAGTAGTAGCTCATCTTCTGTTTCTTGGGACCGTGCAAAATCAAGGGAATGATTTTTAATTCTATACACTATCTGATAATGAAGAGTAGCAGCATATGTGAAGGAAGATGGTACAGCTCCAACTATTTGAACTTGAACTTTTAAAGCTGTAAATAATTGTGGATCTGATATGGGCATATTGAAATTTGAAAACATAGTTACCATAACAGTTCCAGTATTAAGAGTTGTTTCAACAGTTCCTATGCAAGCATGTTGGTACTCATGAAACGAGTATCAAACAAGGCAATCCTTGAAACTGTAGGGAGATATTTTCTTCAGTGAAGAGTTAAGACAAATCTGACAGCACCAAAATGAAAATGAGTATAGCCTTCAGATAACCATACTCTAGGAAGATGATAGGGTAATTCATGTGTAACAAACTGTTCTTTTTCTGTAGCGGGTAGAAGATGTTGATCAAACTTTGTGGCTTGAACAAATTCTTTAGCTTGAGATTTTTTAGGAGAGATAATGCTACGGACAGTTTTAGAGATAGACTGATGGGTTTAATATATGGGAGTTATGGATTTACAAGAGGAAGATCTGTAAGTGAAATTTTATCAGATTCAGAAAGATAGGATATCTCAAAGAAATATTCCATCTTAGAGGCATCAGATTTTCTCATAGAAGAGGAAGAAGAAGAGGAAACTGAAGAGGATTTAGACAAAGGGAAATGATAAGAATTTTCTGATGAAGACACGATTGAGAAGACATTCTTTCTTAGTTTTTCTAGTACTTGATAACATCAAATTTCATGATATGAGTAAGATAACATCATGGCTCTGATACCATCAATGCAGAGACACATTAATCCTTTCAAAATAAGTTACGCTATACAATTAATTTTTAATCTTATATTTAATCTAAAATTTAAAATCAACATAAAATTGAAAATTAATTTTATTTAGAAAGTTTAAAGCTTTTATAAAATTGTTACAACAATAATAAGACTGATAGTTTCGACCATATCTTAAATTTACATCAACAAAAAGCTAAAGTAAATATAGTTCAAGGATATTGAAACCTAGGCGCTTCACAAAGCCTAGACAGTTCAAATTGTATAATGGCCTTGGCACTATGCCCCCGATTGGTGTTGCTAAATATCATATTTTAGTAAATTTTGATACAAGAAACCCCTAAAATATGACTAAAATTAATGATTGACGCTATACCAAATGAGATTGAGGGCTATGTAGCATAACGATAGTTCGACACTTTCAACTGTCTAATTGTTGCTATGGCCTGCACTATTTACACAATTTAACAATTTGAACTGTCTAGACCTCATGTGCTATCTAGAATAATTATACATCACAATGTACAATGCTCGAAAGCAAATTTTGTAACAAAACATGATGTTATTGGTAAAAGCCATTAATTGTTGATGCCCAAATGCCAATGTCAAAAAAACTCCGAATAACCATGGAACAAGAAATTAAGCTTATTTCACATTTTGTTTTTGAAAATATGAACTTGACCTTTTACATATCGAAGTGGACATTTTATCAATATTTTCAAATGGTGACCATATCTTTGTCACCTAAAAAGTTACTCCTGGTCCTTTTTTAATCCTAAATCTACAAAATTAACGAGTCACCCACTAAGATCTAGATCGACTAATTCTTCTCAAATAACACTTGCACCAATAAATATAGCTGTATCTATTAATATGTATGGTCTTGGACCATTAATATTGATTTTTCTTTACCTTCCACAGAAAAAAAAAAAAAAAA